CGGTGCCCCGCAGCCCGCGCACGGGGGATGCAGCGCCCCCTGGCGGCCTGGAGGAGCGTCAGCCGTTCCCCACCACCTCCCTCTTCTTCCGCGGGGCTCCCCCGGGCGACCCGCCGGTTCCGTTGCCCTCCGGTTCCCCTCGCCCTCCCCAGCTCGCAGCGCGACCCTATACATAACAAAACACCCGTAGAATCTGGTTTTAAATGTTGGTTGTTTTTTTTTTTTTAATGTAAAATACGCAAAACCCTTGAGAACAAGCAACCCCGGCACCCTGCTGGCCAAAGGCAAGCTGTGAAGGTCCTACGAGCCCCCGGGCTCCCCCGAGGGGAGGGATTTAGGGGGGGTCGGGGGTCTCCCTGTGCTTTTAAGCACAGCAGGCAGGGAGGGGGCCGCCCGGAGGTGGACCTCCTCCACCGCCTGCTGCCAGGCTGTCTTAGGAAAGGGGGTACCAACCCCAGTGCTGCAGTGAGCTAAGGTGGTGAGGTCAAGCGCTCCGCGAGCAAAGGCGGGCATTAATGAGCAGCGTGGCAGTGTGACTCGTTGGGGTGCCCAACCGGCCATTACGCGGCACCTACGGCACCACACGATACCAGAGGCACCTCGTTACTGGCGGTTCTGTGGAACGAAGTACCTATGCACAGTACCAACAGGGCGAGGAGGCTCAGAGCTGTCCTCCTCTCCCTCCCATTCTCCAGCCACCGCTTCTTCTTCACTTCCTCCTCCGGCTGTGGCTCTTCAGTTCCTCCAGCTCCTTCTCCATGAGGTGGGACTCAGCTGTGGTCTCGGAGAGCTGCAATGCACAGCAAACAACGACAAGAGTGAGCTACCCCTCCGTGCCACAGCTGCAGGGCTAACGCCGGACTGCAGCCTCACAGCCTGTCGTGTACCTCAGGTGCGCCTGCCAGGACATGAAAGCCCCTGAGAAGGATCAGAGATGGCTCTCCCTCTGGAGAAGCACCTCATGTTGCAGCAGCACATACAGTGAGACATTTGTGCCTCAGAAGCTTTTCTGATTTCACAGCACAACCTCTCCAGAGAGATGGCGGAGATTTACAGCCGCAGGCCTGCAGCCGTGCGAGGGAATTTGTTCCCGTTCGAGCGAGGGGGAAGCCGAGATTTCACACTTCACTGAGGTTCCCTCAAAAAACTGAGAGTAGCTGGGGCTTCTGCTAAGGGCTCCAGCCACAAAAGCAGCTTGCCAGTTTTAAAACATGGGAAGAGCATAAGGAAGGAAAATGATGAAGGAATAAGTAAGTGTTTGTTTGGACTGACATAAAGGCTAAATCATTCAACAGACTGAGAATACACATGTATTCTATTAACTGAAAATGTCTCCAGGTTTTAAACATGAAAGTTGTGATCTCTGGATAAGGTTAAATTTCGGTTTATTTAGGGCTTAGGAATTCTTTCATCCTTAGGTTTATGCATAGAATAGATGTCACACCACTCGTGACAGCAGCTGGACGCTTTAATCTTCTGTGACCAGAAAGGGTGGCTGTAACTCAGTTTCACAGTTAGGGCAGAAGACAGAGGGGCAAGAAAAATGCTGTACTCCTTAGGAGACAAGGCACTTGCAGGCGCTCCTCTCTAATCAGCCACAGTGCTCGTGAAAGCCAAGCTCTGCTGCGGGGAGAACCTTCCCCTCTTCTCATAGAGCAGATCAGACTTTACTCCCACAGTCACGTTGCTGTTACACTTGCCTTGCATAGCAGGGTAAAGCAGAAGGAGCAGGATGCAGCAAGAAGGGCCTCCTTTGGTGGAACCAGCACCCTTCCCTTGGGCATTCCCACCGCTACGGGCAGGTGGCTGTTGGGCAAAGACTCACCATGTCCAGCAGAATGTCCACTTTCAGCCGAAGGAGGTTGTTTTCTTCCTCTAGCTGCTGGTTTCGTTTGCGCAAGCGCTGCATTTCCCTGCGGTCCCCCGTGAAGCTTCCTGATTCTGGAAGCAAAGAACGAGGTCAAAAAATGGATTGTCAGCCAACCGTGGCTACTTCAGATCAAAGCAATCTGAGATGTACTCTACCTGCCACCCACTGGCCATTTTCAAACTTAAGGCTCTGACCAGCGAGGTTCATGGTGGGGATGCCATACTCCAGGCCCAGCTCAATCTCACGGGTCGATCTGTCCAGCTGCAGGGAGTAGATCACACTCAGCGTTGGACAGAAATCCAAAGCCAGCCCCTTCTCTCCCATTTCTTAGTGACCGGCATTCCAACAGAAGCTGCTGGTTCGACTGGCCCTAGAGCCTGAAACTCTAATTTTAGCCATGTACTGCTGCAACAGAGGACCAGCTCCTCTCACTACTGTGCCTGCGCTTTCTCCCACTCAAACACATACTCGTGTCCCTGGGCTTAGAGACCATTGATGAGAAGTTTTAGGTGAAGCAGTTCTGGGCTGTGGTTAGCGTGATGATGATCCTTCCCTGAGCTATTCCATTTTTACCTTCATGGAATCACAGAATCGTCTAGGTTGGAAGGGATCTTTAAGATCATTGACTCCAACCATTAGCCTAACACTGCCAAACCCACCACTAAACCATGTCCCTCAGCACCACATCTACCTGTCTTTTAAATACTTCCAGGGATGGTGATTCAACCACTTCCCTGGGCAGCCTGTTCCAAGGTTATCAAACGATAACCCTTTTAGTGAAGAAATTTTTCCTAATATCCAATCTAAACCTCCCCTGGCACAACTTGAGGCCATTTCCTGTTTTTCTATCACTTCTTACTTGGGAGAAGAGACCAACCCCCACCTCGCTACAGTCTCCTTTCAGGTAGCTGTAGAGAGCGATGAGGTCTCCCCTCAGCCTCCTTTTCTCCAGATTAAACAACCCCAGTTCCCTCAGCCACCCCTCACAGGACTTGTTCTCTAGGGCTTTGCTGCCCTTCTCTGGACATACTCCAGAACCTCAGTGTCTTTCGGGTAGTGAGGGGCCCAAAACTGAACACAGTATTCGAGGTGAGGCCTCACCAGTGCCGAGTACAGGGGAATGATCATTTCCCTAGTCCTACTGGCCACACTATTCCTGATACAGGCCGGGATGCCGTTGGTCTTCTTGGCCACCTGGGCACACCGCTGGCTCATATTCAGCCAGAAAACCAACAACCCCAGGTGCTTCTCTGCCAGGCAGCTTTCGAGCCACTCTTCCCCAAGCCTGTAGCGCTGCATGGGGTTGTTGTTGTGACCCAGGTGCAGGACCCGGCACTTGGCCTTGTTGAACATCGTACCACTGGCCTCAGCCCATCGATCCAGCCTGCCCAGATCCCTCTGTAGAGCCTTCCTACTCTCAAGCAGATCAACACTCCTGCCCAACGTGGTGTCATCTGCAAGCCTACTGAGCATGCAGTCAATCCCCTTGTCCAGACAGTTGATAAAGATATTAAACAGAACCAGCCCCAATACTGAGCCCTGGGGAACACCACGTGTGACCGGCCCGCCAACTGGATTTAACTCCATTCACCACCACTCTTTGGGCCTGGCCATCCCCAGCCATCTTTACCCAGCGAAGCATTCACCCATCCAAGCCATGAGCAGTCAGCTCCTCCAGGAGAACGCTGTGGGAATTCGTTGTCTGGTCGCCAGTGAGGAAAGAGGCACAGGAGGAAAGGAGGCACGGTTGGGAGCTCTCGAGAGGGTTATGGCGCCCACGGCACACACACACAGGCCCCCCCGGCTCACCCAGCAAGCTGCCCCGCCGCAGGCCCGAGGGGCCGGGACTCACCAAGTGCAGGTTGGAGAGCGAGGCGCATTTCCTCGGGGGGGTCTTCTTCGGGCTGAAGGTGCTCCCGAAGAGTGGCATGGTGCGCTGCCAGCCGGGCGTACGGGGCGCTCCCGACGGCAGCGGGGG